ATCCGATGAGCCCGAAGCAGACGCAGCCTAGGCGCGGAGACTGCCGCCGTGGCCGTGCCGCCGCTACCACCGCCTTGTCAGCCACCGCCGCCGCCACTGCTCCGACAGTTTCGCAACCTACTTCGCCAGGGTTCTGAAGCATGTGCACGAGGGCCTCAGCCTCTCACAGGAGGCCGTAAGCGTCACGGATTCGTTCGTCAAGGATATCTTCGAGCGCAGTGCCGAGGAGACCTCTCGCATTGCCCGCTTCACCAAGTGCTCCACCATCACCACCAGGGAGATCCAGACAGATGTGCGCCTGCTGCAGCCTGGGGAGATTGGCAAGCACACCGTGTCCGAGGCCATGAAGGTAGTCATCAGGTTCTACGGACGCAGATGAGCTGCCTCCAGACCGCCTGACCACCTCGCAAACCAAAGGCTCTTTGCAGAGCCACGTCACTTGGCACAAGAGTCCTGTAACTCTCCAGAGACCCGCCTACTCTAGCGTTTGGACCTGTGCCATTCTGCCTGCTCTTAAAACACCTTTACCGTGAGCAAGTCCACTTTAATACATGTGTGTGGTGCAGTCAGTTAAGATTTCCTCGACCATGTCGCATTTCATCACATTCCTAAGTGGCCCAGTCCTTCAGGTCAGCGTCTCCGCGACTCTTTATGGTAAGAGCTGGGAACACAATAATTTTACTTGCCTTTTGTATTCTCCTTCTCCCACTTGTTTCGAATAGTATCCTATAGAGAATTTCCGAGGGTGTTGATACAGCAAGAAGTGAAGCACTGTAGCAGATGCAAAACTCACGCTTACCCCATTCACATTCCCTCAATGTATCCCCTCATCCTAATTCAGTTAAATACATAGAAGGGGACCCACATACCGTGCAGAAAACTCAACCTATCTAGAACTGTGCCCTAGTCAATCTCCCGACCTTGTGAAAGGCCTACTTTAGGTGATGAACCTAACAGAAATAAATAAAATTTAAAAAAAGGCCTACTTTATTACATTAAAAATTTATCTGAATCTGTGCCTTGGTAGCATGCCATCTTTACCTTTGACACAAAAGGCTTCCTGCCTTGCAATTATGCCTGGATGACAGGGACATCCAATGAGAGCAGCTGTGCTTCCAGCCTCCGCTGGCAGCAGCCAATAAGCAACTGGCAGTGCAGGATCCGCGGCCATTGGCCCAAAGGGTGGTGGGGTGACCAGGGCTGAACCAATAATAGCCTTCCTGTGCCTGGAGATTGAGGG